GCTTCGCATACCACCCTTCTTTCTTCGTCGTCGATAAACGTATCGAACCAACCGGAGGAGGAGGAGGATGAGCCGGTATGCTGCTGCTGCTGCTGAACCGTTTCTTCCCTTTTTTTTTTTTGTGAGACTTTGGGGGCGTCGTCGTACTACGACGCCGTTTTGACGGTTTTCTTACTTGTTGTTGTTGTTGTTGCACTTCCGGTGGTGGTGGTGGCGGCGGCGGCGGCGTATAATGTATGTCGTAGCTCGTTAAAAATTCGTACAACTCTTCGGGGGGGAGCGATATTTGCTGCTGCTCCATGATGCGCGCCCCGACACAACTGTTACATCGACACTGAGACTTATAATACATTCGCGTCGTCAATCCACGAATCGTGCGACTTGTCCAATCCCAACCAGCGTACCAAAACTTTTTTACCGCGCCTGCGCAGAACCTTTTCAACGAGATAGACGTCAGGATTGGCCGTTTTTTGCAATTCTTCTTCGTAAAATCCTCCCATTATAGGTTTACCGTTCATATCTTCGAGAAGATACGTCACCGGGTTCGTGATCTGCACTTTGACCACTTTAAATAGTTCGGTGGTCCAATTCGGCGTGTATCCTTTGTTAAACACGTGTTTGGCTTTACTAATTCTAACCACGTCACCCACTTTCAATTTCCTAGCTCCGAATATTTTCAGGTGACTGAAAGCGCTCTTCAAAAGTGAATCGGCGTTACTTTTATTCACCGCATTAGGTTTCATTCCCGTCGTTCTGTGTTTCTTGTTGTTGTATTGTTGAACGACAGAGGGCAGCACGTCTGTCTAGCGGTACGTTCCGTTTAACGAGAAATACCGATGCAATTTTTCTTTGAGCGTCCTTATTACCCGTTCGACTATCGCGGCCTTTTTCTTACTGTACGTACTATAATGATTTATTTCGTGCTTGGTCATGAGCTTCTCAAAATTGCCATTATAAAATTCCTTGCCCAGATCCGTTTGCAGGTTTTTTGGGTGTCGATCCCGTGCCTCTTTTAGAATTTTGGCGAAGGCCTTGGTCACATCACTACCCGTTTTTCTTTTTAACGGTTCGCACCACACGTATTTTGAAAAACAATCGATAACAACCAATATAAATTTAAAGTTTTTATTTTGTTTCGCATATCGATCGAGCTGGGCCAAATCGGCCTGCCACAAATCATCCAACCCTCGTATTATAGTTCTGCGACGCGCATAATTTCTACGTGCCGGCCTGTGCAGTTCCCGCACGAGTTGTATCTTTTCTTTACTACTCATTCGTCAATTTGGTCCGCTGCTCTTTTTTTGGGCCGATACGACTGTTGCTGCGGCGGGTGATTGAGAATCTTTAATTCCAACGCCCTCGTTATATCTTTATTTTCCCGGGAGAGTCGATTCACCTCGGGAACAATCTCGTCGAATCTCCGTTCCGTCACTAACGCGTGATTTTCCAACTCTTGCTTTGTGCATATCTCGCCTAGTTTGCGATCAAGGTCGCGGCGAAACTTTAGAAATTCACCTCGAAACGTTCCGACTTGTTGTTCTAAACGTGCGAATCTACTCTTGTTTGTTTCCAACGTCAGGGTAATGTCCCTGTTTTGCCGCGAGAGTCGCTCCACCGCTAAAGCGTGTTTTTCGAACGCTTGTTCTTCTGGGGCTAGCAGCGGTGGTGCGATGACGTCCTTGGATCGTAGTCTTTTCGTAAGCGCCTCGTCCACTTCATCGTCCACGTACTTTTTGGTGGCCGCGTCGTAGTTTTCACTAGGCATTTGGACATTGCAAATTCTTAAATGGTTCATATCGACGTTTCCCTCCGCGGTATAATCGAAGGCGGAGCTCTTTATCACGGTAGTTCGCTTGGAGCGGACACCGCTGGATCGTCCAAACTTGTCCAGACTCATTATTAAACTAACGTATTATACCGGCTTCTTTTAACTCTTCGACGATAGAGAGAATTTCGTTGTCCGCAGACGTGTTCCCTGCGTGTTTCGACGCGACCAGTAATTTTAGGCGCTCAACGAGTTCGTTGACGTCGTCCCAGTACACGTATTCCATAGGCGCGTTATTATAACGCATACTATAACCTTGTCCACTGTACGAATAAGGACGCGGTTTTACTAACGGTCGAATGACCTGAACGTAGTTGGGTACCGTCGACGCGCCTTTTAGACGCCCGCGCGAGTCCCTATGTACCCCCGTGACATCCATAATTTTTTTATATTCTGCCAAATCGTTTTCGGTGTATGTCTGGGGGTTTTTCAAAAGCACCAAATTATATAGGCCGAGAGTGCCGGGGTAACGCGTGCCGTCCACAATAATGTCGCCGGATCTTCGATGAAAATCCATCCACTTATTGCCGAGAACCCATTTCGAAGAGATCGAGTCATAAACGGGACCATAAACGATGTCCGTGTCGGCCGATTTCGCCCATAAATTTTGAATATAAGGATGGGAAATCTCGGGATATTGATCCAGATATGATCGAAAGGACTCGTTAGCCACATTCGAGGTATCAAACACTTCATCCTCCTCCCCTTCCTCCTGCATCTCTACACTACGATCGGCAGCCGAGGATGTCGCCGTTTCCCGAATCTCCTCCAACGGCAAAAACGACACGTTGTCGTTCTTTTTGATTTCCGCTTTCGGTTCTTGCTTGAGGCCGGTATGTTCGCTTTTTGCTTTTAACAACGCCGGTTGGAGGGGTTTTATTTTCGCAATACGCTCGAGCGGCTCGCTGACGGGTTTAAAAAGTTTCCGAATGGACGCGTCCTCCTCGCTCTTGCCCAACTTTAGAGCCAAGTACTTTTTCCTAATTGACTTGGACAGGTCGTTTACTTTCCGTTTAAGCGCCGCGTCGGCGATGTCAACGGGCGCCGCCTTCATGACACTGTGTGTTTCCGACGATCACTTGTCATCCACTTTTATATACTTATCAAAACCCTTGCGGTAACGGCCGTTTTTCAATTCAAAATCTTTGACAATTACGAGGCTTCCGTACTTGTCCTGCCAACAGGCGGAACAGATATTTTTGAACGCGTCGTACGAAACGTCGGGGGAGACGTGCTCGTCGTAAACGTGGTGTAAATTCACGTCATCCTGTTTAAACAGTACTATAATGTTGCAATTGTCCCTTATCAGTTGCTTGGGTATTTTGGAGTACGTCTGGCAGAGATAGGCCGCGTCGATGGACTTGTGTCGACACATTGAGAAATATTCGCGAATTTTATTTTGTTTGTCACATGACACGTCGTCGAAAATGAACACGGAATTCTCTTTCGCTTCACTGGGGTCGATTATCTCGTCGCTATCCCTGTAAGGAAAGTATCCAAGTCCTTTGGTTTGCTTCATTACGCGAGACAGTAGTTGGTATTTGGGTTGATACAGCGACTTTGAGTAGACGTAAACGTTCTCGAAACGCGCTCCATTGGGGCTGAAGAGTAGCGTCAACATGGCGTTAGTTTTACCGCACCCGCTCGGTCCACAAAACACCGCCCTAAACGAGTTGGGTAACAGTTTTCCGTGTTTGCTTTTATTGTTCCCGCCCTCGCCGCAAACAAAATCTAAATTTTCGATGGGGAGTGCGAGTTTCTGTTGCACCACCCGCATGACTACAACCCTTATTCGACCACCCCCTTTTATATATATACAACATATTTCGTGAATCTTTTGGACGCGGCGTGTAAGGCCCACGACATTGCTTATTCGCAGAAATAGTTGAAACTCGTCGGCTGGGTGACATCATCGTCCGCCGCGGGGCAGCGGGTGACGATGCCAAAAAATGCAAAAAATGCTTAAAACAAATTAATGAGCCACTCGGTCCGATTAGTAATCCACACATCCTGCGACACAGGAAATACGAAACGTTGATATTATTGCCGCATGTGTTTCCTTCGCTGCCGGAAATTGCATTTTATTTTTAATTTTCCACACATAACGTGGCCGGATGCGTACATCCGCGCGCGCGCGTGTTTCCGTCAGAAACTGATTAGAAATTAAAAAAAACAATAAGTAGAATATGTATATTTTATTGACCGAGACGTATATAGTGGAAAGACTCTAAAGCATTTCCTCGCGCTCAAGGTATATTTCGATTAACGGATTGAATTTTTTCAGCGTTAAGTCACACCGTTCTTCTTCGTGCCAATAAGTCGCTTGCATGCAATCTCCTAGGGGGAAGATGACGTCGTTCCATTTTAGATTTCCAATTTCCTCGTCAATAAAATATAAAAACTCCAAAAATGCCTCGTGGGTAAAGTCTAGTCGCTGCTGGCCATTAACATACAGGCGTACTTGGGCGCAATCCATCTCGACATATATATGTTCATCGATCGTTACTGTAGTATCCGGAATACGCGTAGGCGTAATTCTTCTGTGATTATTAAATGTTGCATCCCAATCACCACCCATCGTTGTTGTTCTTGTTGTTCAGTCAACTAACACACACACAAAACTTACATTGTTTTTATAACTCCTACACAGTATTTATACATTTCATCCCCCTCCTATCGTCGAAATTGGACTGCACATTGAGTTTTAGTTATCTTGACCAAACACTTTGATAACAAAAGTAGCGAACTGGACGCGATCAGGTATAACAAAATGAAAATAGTTTGTTTTTGATTCGGGGAAAAATGCTTGTCGTCGTCGTCGTCGTCACCACTGTCTTGGAGGCTTCTGGAGTTGTTTTTGTTTAAAGGGTCATTGCTACTGCTGCTGCTGCTGCTGCTACTGCTTACAATGCTTTGCCATTCTCCCTGATCTCCGTAACTGCGATCGGAGAAAACCAAACGAACTTTATAATTTTGGTGCACCGCACTCATTGGCAGTTTAGTCTCAAACAGGTTGCCGTCCGTCGCCGCCAGATGCATCAGCGTCCAGGTGTCCGGCCATGAACAGGAAAAATTACGATTATCGACGTTTTTGAAACACACATATGCTTCAATTACCCCGCTGGGTTTGTGAATATAAAACATATTTTGAACTAATGTGGACAACAAAATAAACTTGGCGTTTAGCGTAGCCATCGCGTTCTCGAATGACACTGATCACCACGTCGTCAGCGCTTTTTTATAGCGCTCAAACAATGAAAACACCGATTTTGCGAGGGAGCCGGTCCGTCGATATGGGTTCTGCTGTCAGGCCGGTTGTAATGCACAAAACACGGCAGATGAGTTTGTAGTTCAAAATTACATTGATGTTTTCCCGGTAATTTGTGCCACATATTCAACAATTCGTAGGGTCTCACCCGTTCTATGAGGTATTGTGCCGGCAGCACTTTCAGGTCTTCGCTGTTCAAGTTCGTTGGATGGCTCAACAGTATTTTATCCATCGTGGTCACCGCCTAGTCGTCAGTTTCATTAACAAATTTTTAATCTGTTGAAACACGCTCTCGCGTGGACAATTGATGCCTAATAGACTGAAATCCACGGGTCCTGCGTTGATCAATTTATTTAAAAAATTTCTCGCTAATGCCTAATAGACTGAAATCCACGGGTCCTGCGTTGATCTATTTATTTAAAAAATTCGTTGTACTCGTAATTTGTGCCACATATTTCCTGCAATTACGCGTGCCTATTGCGTCATGCGATTGCATCGTGGAACACCGGCCGCTTAGCGAAGTTGTCCGAACGTTGTCGTAATAAATACGAGGCAAATTTGATCGAGCGGCGCTATTCGTGGCGATACATCGTGTGTGTGTGTGTACTCGTGCTCCGAAAACACTTGACAATGAATAAAGAAGGTCCTTATTGCTGCTACTCCGCTGCTGGTAAGATTTTGAAGATTTTTTTTTTAATTTTTTTAATTTTTTTTTTCTTCTTTTCAAAAGATTTAACTCTCTGTCCCATCGATGAATCACACCTGTTGCTTAAGCGGCGCCTCACAAATCACGTATGGAAGAAACACCCACAAGAGTGGCCGGCGTGGAAGGAGGAGCAACTAAATCAACAGGTAGCAAGATTGAATGAAAAAATTGAAGAGGACCGGCAGTGGTACGCCTTGCAAACTCAAAGGCAACAAAAAAAACAGCAACAGAATTGGACGGCGGGACCAGTCACAACAACAACAGCAGATGATGATTGGGATACCAACAAAACGACAACAGATTGGACGGGACCAGTCACAACAACAGCAGATGATGATTGGGATACCAACAGTTGTAGTTCATATTTAGATTTTTTAAAAAATAAAAAAACATAGTATAGAAAAAAATGTTTTGCATTTCACACAGATCCAATCCTCGTTAATCATAAAATTCGTCGGGAATTATTAGAATAGTTATCTGTAAAAAAAAAAAAAAAATCTATAACTTTAACCTAGGGGGGAGTCACCGCACAAATCGGGCGAGTTGAGTGACAAAATGCTAGTCAAAATTAACGAAGTTGGTAAGTTAATTAAAAAAAAAAAAAATGCCTATCGAAAATGGATACACTTTTTTTAATCAAAAAATATCGGAAAAAAAAAGTAAATTTAAGTCTCCCCCCCGCTCTCGAACAAAGTAACTGCAGTACTAAATATACGCGGATCATAACTAGCGTTTTTATAGAGGGGGCGTGGGAGATGATTTTTTTTTATTCATATTTACGTGTTTTTTTTAATAATACATGTTGCTACGCGGATCATAACTAGCGTTTTTATAGAGGGGACGTGGGAGATGATTTTTTTTTTATTCATATTTACGTGTTTTTTTTAATAATACATGTTGCGCAGATCAAAATAAAACGACAAAGTTTTTTTTGAAAAAAATTTTATTTAATTTTTTTTATACAATAATGGGTATACTGGCGTATACCCATGAATATAATTCGAAAATATTATTTAGGGCGCACATCCGTCGTCCTCCGCCCTTGTGAAACATACAGTTCGGTCTCTGTTTTTTCTCAAACTTTGGCGGCGGCGGCGGCGGAGGTACAGTTGCGGCGTGGCCGTCTCGTCGTCGTGGCTCGCCGTCGTCAAACTGTTCCACGTTAATGATGGTGGGCTTCCACGCCGACGACTCCAGCCTCTTGGCCAGAAAGTCCGCCTTTACCTGTCCCCTCACGTAAATGACGTCGGCCTGTGCGCTAATATGATTTATCACGTCGTCCACCCTCGCATAGTCGACAAATCCCCCGCTGTATATCAATCCATGGAGGCGATCCTCCAACCACTGCACCCCCCGCTTGTCGGCGGAGGACAGCGGCCCATATTCCTTTGGCGGCTTGAAAATGAAATGGCAGCTTTGACTGCCATTACATGCCGCCAACTCCTTGACGACGAAGCCCTCGCCGCCGTCTTGCAGCTGGAATCCCTGCATGTCGACCACCACGAACCGCATGTTTACCACAAAATGTTTTGACTTCACAAACTTCGTACCACGAACTGGCGCCGCTCGATCAAATTTGCCTCGTATTTATTATTACGACAACGTTCGGACAATTTCGCTAAGCGGCCGGTGTTCCACGATGCAATCGTGAATGATGACGCAATAGGCGCGCGTATTTGCAGGAAATCCGTTTTTAGCCTCGATATCTAACTTAACGTCGACCGTGCTGGATTTCAGACTGTCGTTTCTTCTAGAACAATCGATGACGAATACGGCTCGACTTTTGAACGTTTCGTAGTTGAGCAGGGCGCGTCTCTCCTCGCATCCCTTATAACTAGGATAGAAATCCGTGTAATTGTGATGCGCCTCCACAAAATCGTTCTTGTCAAAGTCGAGGCGCGAGCGTTCGTGAGGGTAATATTCTCCGTTTAGCGTTAGTCGTATATCCGTTATATCGATGTGATCGAAATAAGTGGCGTCTTTATTTTCATTATCTTTACGATTTGTTTGAAACGCGACGATCACATAGCGGGGACTCTCAACCGCCGCACACGTTTTTACTGACCAAATTTCTTTGACAGCGCCCGCGGTCAGGGCTGGATGTTCGTGCAGTTCCCATCTTCGGTACGGTATCAGAATGGGTTGATCCGCTCGAATCGATTGCAACAATTGCAATTTGATTTCGTCATTTGGAAATATATGTTTGACCCTGAGATCGACGCTATCAATTTTTAATTCCGCCGTGGTCGCCTCGCTGGAAATAATGGCGGCGGTGCCGGGCTTCGGAGTAATAACCATACAATTTTTGTCGTGTCTCGCCCGTACCAATCTTACGGTTTGTTTTCCGCACGTTATCATATTATAATCGTTGAAAATGTTCAAAAAATGACGCAATGGGATCCGCATGCTGAAAGATCCGTCCTTGTCGAGAATAGCTCGTTGCGGGAAATTCCAGCCGGCGACGTCTAAATGCTTCGAATCCTTCTCGTCGTAACATAGATAGCCGCGGAGCGTACTGACTATACCGGGATCGCGCACGCTGTCCACTTCCTTTCCGTTCAGCTCGTAAGTCACAGTTTCGAAAAAAAATGCTCCGGCATTGTTTACAAACTCCAAATCGTCGGTCCCGGTGAGCCTTTTTAGCGTTCCTTTAACACAAATGGCGGCGTCGTGCATAAGCAACCACGCGTCTCCTTGATTGATCGTTATCTCGATTGTGTCATTGTTGAGAAATGATTTCACAAACGGGTGATAGGTGCGACTTTCCACGCGCTGAATCGACTCGTCATATTTTGGTTTTCTGTGTATGTCGAAAATTTGATTGGATAACATCGTAGCCCAGCGAACGAAGAAATTGCTTGTTCGTCGGTGTAAGGCGTCCTTTACAGGTACCCCTCGGTCTCGTGACTGACTCTACCGACGGTTTGTTAAGACCTTTATATTCGACGGCCTCGTTAAAAATCAACATTTATGATAGCTTTTTCAACTCCAATCTGACGATGATTTCCTCGCCTCGGAAATTGACCGGCTCGAAATTTTGATCCAGAACGTGTAGCGTAATGTTGTAGATTTCTCGCTTGTTTACCGGCAAGTAAGTTAGGTATTTCGGGGTTTCGTCGATCGCGTACCCCGGATCCACGGACAAGGCAAACTCGTAAATTGTGTGCGAAGGTCTGTCGTTGTAGAACGCTCCGGACGTTATGTTGCTATCTATATGTATGGTTCTCACTTTTATTATGTCCACAGGCAAATCGGAACAGTGCACGCTGCGGGGTTCCAGAATTTTCCGCGAAAAACCCAACAGTTTTCCGATACTGTCGTCGTGATCTTTAAAGTTTATCCCGTACGTGTCGCTATAGATTTCACATTTTATCGTATTGTTGTTGGGCTTGATCGAGATCTCTTCTTTTAACTTTGCATTCTTGTCGACCGGATGTTTTTTCGGTAGATGCTCGTTAATGTAGTTTTCAATGTCACTAATTTCGTACGACCCGGTCGGAATGTTTATTACGTTCTCGTGGTTGTCCTCGTCGAAATAATACAACTTATTCGAGCCGTTCTCAATGTTGGGGATGTTATTGTACGAGTGAAATCCGATCAGAGCCAAACCGTACTCTACGCCTTCGTCCAAATGCAGCGGATTGACAAAGTCGATGGACAAAACCGAACTGTGTCCCTTCAACGTAAAGATGACGGACATGTTCTCTTTTGGGGGGAGGCGCGCGCTCCCTCGCTTTTATAGAGAAATTGCAAGCATAAATGGCCGCAATTGTACTGTATAAATTTTTGATATCGGTCGTGATTGTAGTAGATGTTGACGCCATTACCGCCGAAGTATTTAACCAATTCGACGGGCGGTTTTAGGTTACCGAAACTGTCGAAATAGTCGACATCCGTCCCCATTTTCTTGTAGGCTACCCAGTGAGTTCCTCGATTTCGACTCAAGTCCAAATTAACTATACCACACTCTTTCGATCTGATTCGTTCGGGTAAGGTGTCTCGCATAAAGACACCCCTAAAATAAGGTATTTTTAACTTGCGTGCCGCCGCCACTAAATCGATATCGTATAGGGCTCTTCTGGGCAGCTTTATAGGAAGTTTTTTTGCTTCTTCAGGTAGAGACCGAATCCGCCGCTCGGACTCTTTTTCAAAAATAACCCCGAACCGGTCTTCCCGGTCTCTTCCATTGCGCGGTCGTGTCGAATGTCCTCCTCTAGTTTCTTTCGTGCGTTTTGCACATCGATGACTGTTTTGGCAATGGCAGCGGCACCGCCCGAGAGCGAACCCAAAGCCCCCAGGGCACCCAATAACGGTAAAAGGGGTAAAATTCCCCCCTTCTTCTTCTTCGATTCGAACGGTATAATGCGGGGCACCTTAATTTTTTTACGCCCGCCCGCCTTTTTGACGGCGTCTCTGCCCGCCCGAAGCGCCTCCGACGCACCGCGCTTTAAAGTTGTCGGATTATCGTGGTGCAACAATTGTTTTTTCTTCAATGCGTTGCGAATTTTTTTAACGATCCCCTGTCGAAAGGAAACGGGGCTACGCTGCTTGCGGGATACTTTAATTTTCTTGCGACCACCCGCCTTCTTTTTTTTTTAGCCCCGAGCGACGACGTTTCTGCTGCTGCTGCTGCTTCCGCTGCTTTGGTTGGCCCATACCGAGCTTGCGTTTGGCCTTAACTGTGGCAGTGACAAGGAACGCTCCCGCTTTTTCACCAAACTTCGCGTCTTTCGCTTTTACTCGCTCCCACGCACGCTTTTCCAACTCTTTATCCGCTTTGTGGCGCTCCTCGAGCGATTGGTGTTGCGAATAAGCAATATCGTGTTCTCTACACGCCGCGTCCAAAGGATTCACGCCGCTATCGCCGCGACTAAGCCGTTTTTTCAATTTCGTCCCCGGTCCGCAAAATTGATAACCGGGAAGGTGTAGTTCGAAAGGTAACTTATTTATCAGCGTGTTAACGAGGCCGCTTCCGGACGCAAAGTATAACATACTGACAAAATAAAATTACGGAGTGTCTATATATATATACAAGGGGGTGGAGGTGGTTGAAGTAATGCCGCACTCCCCCTCATCGAAAAGTTAGATTCTGGTTTCGTTTAAAGATTTTTTTTTTTGGCGGGAACAAGAACGTCATCAACAGGAACACCGGGATGTTCGACTAACTGGACGCAAAAAGAAGAAGAAGAAGACCCTCCTCGATAAATATTTGATATGGTATATATAGTTTTCTTTAATTAAACTTGGACACGTGGGGGGCGCCTCGCGGTGACGCAGCCGCTGATAGGAATAATGTCGAGAGAGCGCGCGCGACATCTAGCAGCAACGGGACGAAACCGACGGTACATAATTAGCTCGGCATTAAAGTGACCGTTCAACGACGGACGGGTTTTCTGTCGAGAGCGCGCGCGTGCGACATCTAGCGGCAACGGGACGGAACAAACGGTACATAATTAGCTCGGCATTAAAGTGACCGTTCAACGACAGAGTGCCCCGCCCCCCGAGATGGGGGGCGGGCACTCTACCAGCGGGGGCTACGCCGCGGGGGACTCTACCAGCGGCAGCCC